CCCAAAACAGTTAATACCTACAACTCTTTTGAACATTTAACCCCTAATTTCCCTGATCCAAATTTCAAAGCCAGAAAACCTCTTCTTTTTGTAACTTTGTATCGTCCACCAGGTCCTTACTCTGAATTTTTAGATGAGTTTTCAGAGTTCCTTTCTGATTTGGTATTAAATACTGACAGGGTCATCATAGTGGTCATCTTTTTCTTTGTCTGCTTCTGTCTCCTTGAACCCCAGTGGGCCTCAGCAGATTGAAGTGAACTGAAATGACTGGTTACTGGGAAAATTAACTAAGTAAAATCTCTAATCTTTATGAAATTGAATGACTGATAATAACTATTTTAGAGTCTTTGGTGGGAGAAGTCAGCTAAGACACTTATTTCTAATATATTTATGCAGATGTGATTATTATGCTTAATGTTAATACTAAAATATGAATTGAGCTGTTTTTGAACTTGATATTAATGTACAATAATAGGTTATACCCAGCTAGAAAATCATGGTTCCATCAAAATACCACAAAATATAGGAGGGCGGTCTTTCAGAATGTTCATAAAAAATAACAAAACCAAAGACTATATCAAGTCTATTCAGTAATGCACTGAACAGATTAAACAGTTGAACCAATCATGTCCATTTTTCATGGACATCTTTAATCATATGAACAAACATTAGGTTTGTTTGTTAACTGCCTTTCTGCTCATTGACCTGCTTCATACTGACGTGTCTGTTGCAGCATTACAGCGCCCCCCACAGGCAGGGCATCAGTATAAGAATCCCATTATAGTCCAGCTTTAGTTGATCACATTGTTATAGTCAGACTCTTTTATTTGGACGCTGCCTTTGGTTCAGTGAAGATGAGGATTTAGTTGAAGACCATCAGTCCTGTTCCTGTTCTGCTCACATTAGTTTTATTCATTAGAGTGAAACATTAAGGTGACGTAGCTCTTACTGTTTATAAGAATTTCCATTTTTGTTTTTGACAAGTCATTTAATTGATGACATCTTTTACTTTGAAGGATTTATTTTCTTAACATCATCTCACCCAGAATGGCTCCTCAGAACCTGACTGTTAAAGATGAGCTTCTTTATTATTTCTCTTGTAATTATAACTGCACCTGCTGCACCCCCCCCCCC